ACACACATATGTTCTCATATTCACACCAGAAAAAACAGCTTGCAAACTCCTGAAAGTGGAAAAAGGCAACTTGCAAATGTGCCTTTGTTTTTTATATGCACCCTCCCACCCCACCCCTATATTCCCCTTCCCACCCCAAGTAATTCCCTGTGTCCTGCCGCAGCTGTTCCAAACTAAATATTCTTTTTGTTTGTAGGTTTAAAAGATTATTTTACACTTGTGAGTGAAAGAAAAGAAAAGAAAAGATTATCATGGGAATGAAATTCCCCTCTCTCACTGAATCCATGAGAGGATAAATGGAAACAAGCTGAGAGGAGATGCAGATGAAAGATTAAACTATTAATACTGAGAAGAAGAAAGATATGATGGTTCAGTGGCAAAATGGAGGTGAGGGCAGCACATTAATGAGCACATTCAAAGATAAACTATTCTCACCCCCACCCCGCCGCTTCCACTCTGTCTTTTTTCTTTAACAACTTCTCTGTCTTTTTAGGGTTTTTTGGTTGGTTGGTTTTGTGTTTACAGTGGTGAAGTTCTTCAGCAAGAAACCAAAATGGAGACAAGAACAGCCTTCTCTTGAATTAAGACCCCTCTTCTGGTTTCCTGCCTGTCCCTCCCCACCCCCTCCCTGCCCTGTGTTGCTAAATGTGCTGAAAAGAGAAGAGTAAGCTTAGAATAAACCTAACAAACCAAAGGAGAAAATGCTAATAATAGCAAAGAGTAAAACCCAAACCAAAAAGACCACAGCACTCCTGTGTTGTCATTGTCTGAGTGTCTGTCCCTATCTCTCTTGGAGGCTGCAGGCATCAATTTACATAGTACAACCAGTAAATGAGGTTGAAGAATCCAAAGGTGATTGGAAAAATGATCCGTGACCACTTGTCAATGGTGCTGACATCTGCCAGGTCTGGGATTTTGAGCTTCAGCTTAGATGACCGCCGGCGGAGACGGCAGTTGGCACGGTTGCGGGTAGCGGCATGGTGGGTCAGTGGGACATGGCGGTCTAAGGTAAGGTGGTGGCCGAAGCCATCCCGAGAGGCCAGCTGCTTGCGGAACTGGATTCCTGAGCCTTCAAAAGACATGACAGAGTTTCGAGAGTCACCAACACTGCTCATCATGTCTGTGGCCAGCAGCTCATTGTTCATCTCCAAGGTGCTGAGGAGAATGTTGCCATATGGATCAACCTGGAAGGGGGGAAGAGAGAAGGCAGTGTTAACAGGGCACACACCAGGTCAGATTTATCCTTTATGTCACTCCACTGACCATAGGGATAATTTGGATTATTTTCTACTGTAACAACAACACTGGTTGGGTCACCTGCCAGATGTTGAACCTTGGACTTCTGGATTGGAATGCATGAGCCACCACTGCTGGACACCAGGAACAAGCTACATTACCTTGTAACAAGCTAATGCAGCTCTGTAATGTATTCTGTCAATACAGGGGGCAAAGTGCCACCTGGTTCATGTTGGGTACCTCTGCATGGTGTCCTCAAAGAAGAGGATGGTGCCTATGGGAGCAGGCAAATAGAACAAACATGGAGTAGGAATTTCCTTTGCACTTCAGGAGGAGAGTAGGCCCTCCTGCCCCCCCCCCATTTGTGAAGGAGTACACGATGGTCTAGCACCAGGGAATGAGGGGACTAGGTTCACCTCTCACAAAAGGGAGAATAGCCCCTCCTAAGCCCACTCAGACTGAATGAAGATAGAGCATCTGCTTTCTCCAGCGAGAAAAGAGGGAAGGAACCAACCTGCTCTCTCACCCTCTTCTCTTCATACCGGTGGCGCTCGTTGTTTGCCTTGTTAATCCTCTCACTCTGCTTCTTCTGCTGACGAGGGCCACGCCCAAAGAAAATGTAATTAACGAAGGCATACTCTAGGAGTGCCAGGAACACAAAAACGAAGCAGCCCATGAGATAGACATCAATGGCCTTGACGTACGGGATCTTTGGGAGGGTCTCCCGCAAGTGCGTGTTAATGGTGGTCATAGTAAGCACCGTGGTGACCCCTGCAAGGAGAGGGCATGTCTGTTACCAAGATGGAATGACTCTATATCATCCTCTCTTTTTGCTCTAACCAACCCCTCTGAGCAGTGCCAGAGAGAAGATGTGGGAGCCCTGGCTGCAGTCAGACAGCTCTCACATCTTCCAGTTACAAGGTCTTCCAGCAGTAGTAGCTGCAGGAAGTGGTGAAAGTAGAAAGATAATAAGAAAGATTATAGCTGCTCTATGTCCTAAGTCTTGCTACAAGTCACTACAGGAAATAAAACAGGAGTCAGTTATCCAGGGGAGCATTGGCAGAGGAGGCTTAGAGTTGAGTATCACCAGCATGACCTGTAACCATCCCTTCTGGCTTTTCTGTGCCTTAGTTCCCTAGCAGATTCTTTTCCCCATCTTCCTCTGTTTGGTATGGCAGAGAACACCATGCTTTCACCTTCATCCCTCACTCTCCACTCTCACTGTCCTTTATGACTCTGAGGTCTCTTTTTTTTTGTATTTGCCTCTCTACCCCTCCTATTGTCTCCATTTCTCCTTGCCTCCTTTCCACTTTGCTTACTTTTCTAATTGCCTCCTATTCCTTTAGCTTTAGCCACTTCCTCTCCCTTTGGTCATTTCCTTCCCCTTCAAGCCTGCTCAAAATTTTCCCTCCTGAAATAGGCTTCCTTCAGACTAGCACCTTCCGTTTCTTTCCCTCCAACTCTGTCACCAGAATCCTGATTCCTCTTGCTTATTTTTGTGGCTTTGGGTTTTTTTTCTCTTTGCTCCATCCCTTCTACTGTTCTCCCTTCTCCTTAGTCTTTCATCACTGCCCGGATGCAGGTCACTGACAGCCTTTTTTCAATGAGATATACCAGTAATAGGCGTGTGACTTTTCTGCTGCCTTTGAGAAAGTAGACTGCTACCTCTATAACTTTTTCTTCTCTCCTCACTTTCATAGTTCAGCTCTCTTGGTTCTTCTTCTCCCTTGATGATCATTTGTTCTCTGTCCCTGCATCTTCCTTCATCCATCTCTCAAGCTCTTGGCAATTCCCTAAATTCTGTCCTTTGTCTCCAGCTTTCTCATTTAATTTGGTGTGGGTCTCAAGTCTTTCCTGTCTCTATCCTCAACTTCTACTTATTTCTCCATTTTCATATTATCTACCAGTCTCCTGTGTATCCAGCTGCCACCCCACTCAATGTTGGCATAACCAACCCTCTTGGATCTCTGTTCTTCATCTCATTTCTTTCCCTCCAACTCTGTCACCAGAATCCTGATGCCTCTTGCTTATTTTTGTGGCTTTGTTTTTTTGTCTCCTTGCTCCATACCTTCTACTGTTCTCCCTTCTCCTTAGTCTTTCATCACTGCCCTGATGCAAGTCACTGACTGCCTTTTTTTCAATGAGATGTACCAGTAATAGGTGTGTGACCTCTCTGCTGCCATTGAGACAGTGGACTGCTATCTCTGTAACTTTTTCTTCTCTCCTTGTCAACAAGCCAGTTATATTTGACCCTTCCTACCTCATATCCTCAAAGCAGAGACTGAACTGTGATTTAGAATCTCACTCTTTTTAAATATCCACAACTTCTGCTCTTGGGGCAATGCACTTAAACACTGACCCTCAAGAGATGCTGACAGCAGATGCCACTACATCTCTAATATTTGTAAGCAGAGGACTTCTATGTCTACATTTGGAGACTGCCTCAAGTAAAGGTAATCCAGTGTTTAGATATTTAGTTTGTTCATTTATCTTATTGCCTCTTGACCAGGGACATTGCACACTAAAAGAAGTATCAACCTAGTCATTACAATAACTGTAGATGAAGTCCCAGATACCAGGATGTGGAGATGTTAGGATAAGGAACTCTGCATGTTTGAACTGCATCTTTCAGCATTCATTGTGATTCTGCTCCTTTTGATCAATTAAGTGACAACAGAAAGCTCAGCACGTGTTTATTGTGATCTTTGGTTCTTTAAAAAAAAAGAACATAAACAGCCTACTCTCCTAGCCCACCCCTTCTCCAAGGAAACCCTTGTGGGGCATATCATGAAAAGACCTACCTAATGCCACCCGGGCAGCAGAAGCATCATAATTGATCCAGAATGAGACCCAGGAAAGGATAGTGATGAGGATAGAAGGCATATAAGTCTGTAGGATGAAGTAACCAATGTTCCTTTTAATCCGGAAACTCAGGGACAAACGGAGATATGAACCTGCCGATCAGATACCGAGAAGAGATGTCATTTGGCAGAAGGGCCAAGGCTGTGTGTGTAATAAGGAGGCAAGAGCAGGAAGAAGAATTACCCAGGAGTCATTCTGGTCCCTCCCTCTTACATGCAATAATAGATAGTGGGGAATCCTATGTATTTGTCCTTCCACAGACGATGCAAACTCAGTCACTTTCAGGAAGAAGCTCTTTGGAGCATACTTATTTGGGCCCACAGGTTTGGGTCTTTAACCACCAAAAAGCAGGCACCAAAAGAACACAGGTTCTTCCTTAAGCAGTGGAGGACAGAAAATTTCAATTCTTGGGTTCCATATTGACTCAGAAAAATAAAAAATAAAGTCTACTCCAATATAGTGTAAAACTGTATGTTAGACATCCTGTGCAAACTCTGGACTGTACCAAAAGGATTCTGTCTGTCTTCACAGCTGAGATGGAACTCCTAGTACTAACACACTTATCAGGTCCATGGTTAGATGGGAGCCTTTGAATGTAATAGGGCTGATTCGTCAACTTTCTTGCGCTATCTCTTCTACAAAATGTCTGTGTAGATGCACATCTCATTTTCCCATGTAACTTCCACAGAGGCCAATCCATATCGGGAAACTGCACACCAGACGTGCAAAAATCTGTAATTGTTTAAAATTGTTCCAATTGCCTAGCTAACCTTCTAACAATCATCATCATCATCTGCACTTTTATAGGGTTTTCCAGTGCCCAACACAATGAGCCCCTGATTTAAATTGTGGTCTATATAATGGGCATGGTGTTTTCTTACTAGTTAAAAAAGGCTGTAATCAAAATTCAAGCATGGCCAGCTTTCAAGATTAGCAATAGGTAAACCATCAGATGGGCAGTCTCACCATGTCCTTTCATCATGAACGCAAACAGATTTACTTCTCATTCAAAGGCTGCACACCTTCTTAAGGAAATATTATTCATGTTCTTGTGATCTTTATTGCAAATTCAAGAGCTAGTTGGAAACCACCTGGAAAGGGAGGCTGAAGTGAGAACCTTCTGATGAGACCCTGCTTGAGGGAAGTCAGCATTATGGCTAGTAACCTGGAGGATAACTTTAACAAATGGCACTATTTACTGCTTGCTATCCAGATTCTAAGGATCCTAAAAATCAGAGTCAGTGGGCATAAAAGAGAAACCAAGTTTCCATAGGGGCATTCAAGATTAGGACCCTTGTCTTCAAAAATCCCAGGCAAGTGCTTCAGCATCCAAGTCAGAGAAGCAGTCACCTAGACTTTTTCCAAAAGAATAATTACATGTCACCTTAAGCCTTTTAGAAAGAACCCTACCTGTGGTGAAGACCACTTCTCGGGTGACCAGTCTCTGCTCAATGATGGTGAACTGGGGAAGCTCCAGCATTTCCATCCCAGTGACAGCTGAGTCATTTCCTTGCCAGAAGAACACAATGTCATCAACCGTGTAGCCATCTGTAGGGGTGGAGAAGACAGGGGCAACCTGAGCTGACAAGTCGTGGCAAGCAGCACTTCCATTTTTATAATGCTTTTTTGTTTTTACTGAATTTACCCAAACAAAACCCATTTATCAGTAAATAGTAAAAACAGGCTCCTCTTGGGGGAATTTTATCCTTCCCCCGCTTAGTAGAATAGCTACCAGGAGAAGGGAAGAAATGGCTAAGATACCTAGTCCTTCTGAGATTCAGAAGTAGAAGATGAAGATGGGGATTGGCTCTCCAATTTGTGGCCTGTGCCCCACAATCCTTCCTGGTTTGTGTACATCAGAAGCTTGTGTTAAAAGCAATATGTGCAGCTTTTCATTCATGAGGTGTCTGCAGGGGGAGATCACATATTGCTTTTTTGGGTAAGGACCATGAAAACAGAATCTCTGTATAAATAAAATATTTGAGCAAACAATGTGGTGAATTAAAAAATATCTAGAATTTAGGGCATTTCCCTAGATTCTAGACATTTCTACTTTGGTCAAAATTTGACCCTAGAGTAGTTGACAGTATTTTCTGGGAAGCTGAATGCTTTGATTAAGGAGCATTACTAGTATTACTAGTGGCAAGGAGGAGCTGGATAGCTCTGAGGGTCCATAATGACCTAAAATAAATACTCCCTTAGGTTCGATTCTGCCCTGTGAAGGGGAAAGATGTGGCATGTACAATCACAAAGTAACAAGTGCTAAGCAGAACCTGGAGTAGTGTCAGGCACAATCCTGCATTTGCCAACTTGTAGCAAGAGAGAGGCCATCAAGGGAAACACACAGGTAAGTGTCTCAGTAGCATGTTGATCACATTTCTTTTTGCTGCCCTATTTTTACCTCAGAATCTTGAGACTTAGGTTTTCTCTATACACAAAAGTGAACCCAGATTAAGGTAGGGTGGGAATTCAAAGAACAACTGTTTTTTCTTAGTGACTTCATATGTGGATATTCCTTCCACTAGCAATGGTGTTAATCAGGAACAGTTTATCAGGGATGATCAGGGAGGAGCACTTCCATGTGTAGATGAGCTCTAAGAGGAAGTGTAAAAGGAGATTTTATTTCTCATTGCAAAAGACTAATTCTTAACCTTATTGTATCTAAAGATAACCTTTGCTCACAACATGCACTGCAGCACAGGAACCTTGCAGAGCATAGCCCTGCTTAACGCTGTTTCACTTAGCGCTATTTTGCAATAACACACATTTTAAATTGATACCTGATTCCACTTAGTGCTCAGTAAGTTTTGTTATAATGCTCACGGTCGCCATCTTGAGTCATTAAAAGCACTTTCAGTTACCATCTTGGGTTGTCAGAAATTTTCAGTTTCGCTTAATGCTCATTTCACTTCACTCTCAGTTTTTCAGAAACCAGTTAAGAGCTCTAAGCGGGGGGTTGCCTGTATTAATACTGGCAATATTCAGGGAACCAGCTGGGTGGTTTGCTGCTTGGTGTGCAGATGTCCACAGGCACCATCATGACCTTATGGTAGTGCTGACTTAAGCAATGGCAGTAGAGTAGCCACAAGTTAGATAGGTCATAAACTCTGAACTCCTCTCCCAACCCTGGAAGCATATGGCTCCTCCACAGCAGAGTTTAGGTGTCTAAAGGTGGTGCTAGGGCAAACTACTAAGTCTTGACCATTATTTGCCCATTATTACATGTATTCAAAGGTGCTAACATTTTTTCCAAATATTGGACCAAACTCACTAGTGGGGTAACATGGATGTTCCTCAGTTGAGGATCTGGTTCACTAAACTAACTGATGGCCTTGTGTTTCTAGATATTGGGGATGGTGCTCCTGCCAGATGGTGCTTCGCTATTTTTCCCTATTTTGGGAAAAAAAGGATTGTCACTGTTGAGGCAGATGAGCTAGGGCTCAGCATTCCTGTTACTCAGCACAGCCCTGCTCCCACACCCACTGCCAACTCCCATTGACTTGAATGGCACAGGGTCAGGTCATAAGGTCCCAAAGATCCACTGAGATTCAGGTCAGAAGGAACTGTTAGGCCACCTTATCTGATTTTCCTAGATTATAGGCAATTGCATACCACCCAGTCACCCCCTGCAATGAATTGAATAACCTGTGCTCATGTCTGGCTAAAGCAGATTTGAAGACAGCAAGAGACATCAAAAGTCTTCAAATCCACTACTCTCCTTGTTAATTGATTACAATGGTTAATCCCCCAATTGTTAAAAATTAATTTCTTATTTTTAACTTGAATCTTTCTGGACTGAGCTTCTGGTCTCTGGCCCTTGTTCTGCTTTTTACCACTAGATTAAAGAGCGCTTTAGAACCCAGTGAATGCTTCCCGTAGAAGTACTTATAAACTACAAGCAAGTCACCCCTCGTTCTTCTTTTTGATAAACTACAGTAGTTGAGTTCTTTAAGTCTCTCATCACTGTAAACAGTAGTTCTAGCCCTCAAGTCATTTCTGTGGATCTTACCTACACAATTTCCAATTTTACAAAATCCATCTTAAAATGTGGACCTCAAAATTGGACAAAACATTCCACTATTAGTTTTACTAATATTATATATAGAAGTGAAATTATTTATTTACCCCCTACTGTCCTGCTTTACCACACCAGCTGTTTTTGCCACTACATTGCAATGGAAGTTAGTGTTAAGTTGCTCATCCACTATAGCCCTTACATCTTTTTCAGAATCACTATTTCCAGACACACTCCGCAATAGTGTAGGCATGGCCTGTATTCTTTGTACCTACATGTAGAACTTTTAATTTGGCCATATCCAAATGCATTTTGTTTGGATGAGTTACACTTATCAAATAATTCAGATTGCTTTCTCTAACTGTCCTGCCATGATCTTCCCACATCACTGGGCATGGTTTTTGCAACAAGACCATATTATTACAGACTTAGTGGATTAGAGGAGGAGAGGCTAGCAGAGCTGCAGCTGGTGATAGGACTGAAGGCAGAAGCATTTTTCTGGAACCACATCCCAAATGGTTCTCAAAGTGACATGCTACATGATGCAGAGATGCACCACTACAGTCTTTCTCCATGCAGTCAGTCCAAACCATGTTTCTTTTCTTTTGGCTGAGTTACAGGTGGATAAATATTTATTAGATTTACATGAATACTTAGTTGATGCCCCAAATTTAACCTATCTTGCAGTTGGCATAAGCAGCTGTGGTGGACATGAATGTCTTCCAGATTGTACTTGTGTACTCTGTTTTTTAAATCCATTTCTGTGTCACTGTGAATGAGCTATTTTGGTGGTTTTTAAACCTTTGTTTATGTAGCACTTGGACATAAAATAAAGAATACTACAATTCCAGAGCTGTGCTCCTGACATCATCAGTCATATTGGCATGCAAATAAGGAAGTAAATGAAATGGAGCCATTTTGATTTCCAATTTGCCAAATACATAAAAGGCAAAAGCGTTCAGGAGATAAATGTTGTCTCTTCCACCCTCTGCATGAGTTTTACAAATACTGCAAAGAAAACCAAAGTGCTGACTCTAACAAATTGGACTGATAGTACTCCATTGACAGCAAAATCATGAGATGGGGAGTTGTGGGTAATTCTCTGCCTCCTGTTTTCTTGGTTAAACTGCAAAGTATCCTCAAAATACTGAGAGGTGCCAGATACGATATGTCATTAGTACCACCAGCAGGACCTAACTTACATTCCATTATCCTGGGACTTACTGACATAGAAATAGTTATGAGGCAAGATGGAGGTTTTACATTGTGGATGCAGTGGGACCATTCTTATAGGAAATACAAAGTAATCACTACATCACCATTATGGTGAGACTCAGCATTTTGCACTATTCCTGTTGGAAACCATAGTGCATTTTTTATAAGAAAGGGATAACTACTCACCTGGCCATGAAATGGTACTGGTGTTAAGGATGGCTTCACAATGGAAAGATTTTAGTTCCTGCCCTATTGCTGGAGTCCCATTTCCCCACACCGTCTTGACTTTTCATTTCTGCGTTTTCACCTGTGCCTCTCATTCTTTAAGTGGGGGACTGAAGCAACCAGGCTAGACTCTTTCCTTCTCCCCAGCCCAGGTACAATATATGAGATAATTGGGTATGGCACTCACAGGGCCCAGTCTGGGGCAGAGAACAAATGCTACACAACTGGGGTGGGAGAATGGTGAAGATGATGGCAGGTCTCAAGCAGCTCTGAGTGAAAAACAGCATGGAGTACACATGGGTGGAGGAGAGGAAAGCTGAAATAACATGCAGGGGATCCCCTGTTTTCTCCCTTCTTATGACGTATGCAGTACTTCTTATGGGGACTGGGAGGGATGGAAGTGGAAGGCACGAGGCATACGCACAGCTCTCAATTTCTAGTGTGCAGTTCTGTTGGTCCAGAGGGTATCTCCTCAGATCCATCATGCAAGCAGCTGTGGTGGTGATTCTGAAAGGGGAAAAAAATAAAGGAAGATATGAAAGTCAGGCAGCATTAGGGGCTGCTGTTTCCATAGTAACCGGGGAGAGCCGTTGTGGAGGAGAGGTAGGTGTATGGGGTGGAGGACAGAACACATTGCTTAAACCTTACCCTCAGTGGCCTGGTTTAATCTTTCATGACTCACGTCATCAAGGCTGTATCTTTAGTAAAGGTGCAGTGGGGTGAGGGGAAGGCATAATGTTTTCTCCTCGTATATAGATGGAGAGAGAGAGACAGAGACAAAAAAAGTAAGAGTAGGCAGAGCTATGGAAATGAGAGGGAAAAAGAGATGCTTCTGTTTGCAAGAGAGATAATATATTTGTCTTTTATATTTATGTGTATGTTGATTAAGTTGCTCTGCAGTGAGGTATGAGGAGGAATAATTTATCACAATATCTATCTATCCTTCCATCCATCCTTTCCCAGTCCCCATGACACGCACCCTATTCTATTGATCTACCACTCTTCACCCTAATCCATCTCATCTACCCTTCTGTCATGGGGTCTGATATCCAAATGCTACTATCTGGACCTTTCTTTATAATGAATTACATGTTTCCTTGTCTTTCGGTTCACAATTCTGCGCACAAATTTGGTGTAGCCCAAGCAGTTTGGAATTTGGGATTTTGATGCAAGTGTGCACACATGTCTTTTCCTAAACACACACATATGTATATTTTTTTCACCCTGTCTTGATGTGGGGCTGGGAGAGTCCATGAGCATGTGGCTGTCCATTTGAAAAGGTGTGGGTGAATACATTTGCATGCTGTGTGTCTATGCAAGATTTCTGGAACAGAGTAAGTCATCCTGTGGCATTGGCATTACCCCACTCTGTCCTTATACACACTGGAATTTCTCCCCTTCACCTAATCTCCCAGTCTTCTTCTAATGCAATCTCCTTTCCATGCAGCGTGCATGTGTGAGAGTAGCTAGCAGGGAAGGATCAGTTCCCTCTCCCCTTTCTCAATTAACCATCTGGAAGGCATTAATCAAGCAACACATTTTTTATGATGCAGGCATAACTACTGAACTGTTAACAGGAAAGCTTTGTTATCCTTTGAGCCTTGTCATTGGGCAGATGGAGAGACAACAGAAAATGAGACTCAGATCAATCCAAAAAAATCAATAAGGAAGAGAAAAGAGCTAGAACAAGAGAAGGGAATTGATAAAGAGGTAAAGGGGGTTAGGGGAGGCAAAGGAAAGAGTGATAATACTCAACTGAGTCATGGATGCACATGGAGGGGAAGAGAGAGCACGCGCATCAATGAACGGCTGTCTCTTTAAGAAATCTTGCATGTTAAATTTATCTCTCTGCTGTCTGCAAAGACTGTTTGTAGAAGATGAAGCTTTGAGGAGAGCCTTTGCCACTGCCTGCTGTGCTATAAATAGACCCAAAGAGATGGAGGGAATTTATATATATCCTCCCTGGGTCTAGATACAACATTGCAACTAGCCTGGAAGGAGCTTAGGTAGGAAAGGACCCTTAACCCTTTAAATTAAAAGCTGGTTTAAAGGGGGAAGGCAGTGCAATCCAGTCCCAAACAATCACAGCAGAGTCTACATTTAATCTATTGTTTTCATGGTATTCAAGATTCGCACCTCCAGTAAAAGAGCTGAAAAGACAATTTCTCTCCAAATCCGAACAAGTTCATTAGAGTTCATAAGACATCACAAGGGAGCAGGCACAATTAATACCCATGGGGGACCCAAACCTCTTTAGGAGATGCTTGGGGTACAGAACAGTGGCCAATGCAGGCATACGCCAAGACGGCAGATTTGTGGCTGGGTATGACTCATCCCTACGCTGCACTCAGCACACATTGTATATATTATACCACACCCATGGGAAACAGCATCCACAAATGCATTCTTTATTTTCCCTACAGTGTAACCTGTAAAAATGTATTAAACAAAGATTGTCCACCCAATTTACAGGACCTGGTAGGCTAAAACCTTGCATAGTGTCCAGTCCAAGATCACTGTCTGTCTAGCTTGCCTAAACAAAGGGCACTGAGGGGAAACATGCTCTGATCTTGGAGTAGGCTCACAGCACAACTCCAGACTTGCATCACAACTCAGCCATCACCTGCAGTGCTGGTTTCCAATAAAGAACATGGCATGGAGTGCTAGGGATGCAGCACTCCAGAGGCCAAATCATGTCCTTGCAGGTATCAGCATAACTCTGGAGCTGCACCATTGATTTGATTAGGTATATGTTAGATTTATACCAAGGTAACTTGTGCAGGATTTGACCTTCCAAGTCAGACCAAATAATGTCTTTCCATTTTACTATTTGGGGATGTTTATTCCTGTGAGGTAAACAGAATAAAGGTTATATTGGTTTCAGAGTATCAGACAATTGCTCCTCTTCCTTACAAATAAAATCACAGGTCCTTGACTGGCCAGCAGGTGTGTGACCTGCTGACTGGCTACAACCAGGTAGTAAGTTGGTCAGCTGTGACCTGTCCTGCTCACCTCCCATGCTGTGATGTTACCTAAGTGACTGAAGGGAGAGCAGGTGGACTCAGAGTTCTGCCCCAGCAGCTGGTGGGGATTCTTTTGCTTTTCAAATGTGTGTCTTGGGGTCCCTCTGACTGTGCCATCTGGACTCCATGAAACAATTTTTACTCCTCTCCTCAATTACTGTAAGTGATGGTACAATCAGAAAGGTGAATGTTCATATCAAGGGTCAGCAAATTAATGAACGCAGCTCAGTCTGAAGGGGGGCTGCTGCTTGTCACCTGGCTGCCACCACTACCTCCCTCACCAGTAATTCCATTTTTCACTGCTTTCCCCAACTGCTGATTGTTGCCACCATCCCAGTTTGGCAGGCTAAGTAAAACTTCTTTATTGAACAGAGCAGACAAAATGGAAGACTGAGCCAAATGGGTTACCTATATTGGCACACTGACAGAAGCCGAAGGCCTGATTTGGACAGCTGGCCTGTTGACTTCAGTTGGTACTGAGCCAGGTCCTAAAAGTACAGACGCACTTTTTGAGGGGAGGGGGGAGTCACTCAGACACTTGCACTGTCTCTGGGTAGTATGTGGTACTTGGTACCATGGTAACTTGGAGGCACAATGCTATCTGATATACAGCAGGGGTTGGCAACCTGCACCCCGTAGGCTAAAGAGATTTTACTTAGCAGCATTACTGTACAGTAGCATCCTTGAACAGCTTTCTGATGATGCTGACTGTGCAATAGCTCATTACTACCGCACAGTAGCATCGTGTCATGCTTCGAGCCATGTGGTGCTACTGTGCAGTTGTAATGAGCTACTGTGCAGTGAGCATCTCATGTAGACACAGCCACTGCCCCTTCCATGTTGGCTATCTCAAACAGGATGTGAAATGCTGAGGGAACTAGGAAACTTCATTCTCCTCTCATAACCACAGATGGTCCAGAGCAGGACTAGGCACACTAGCAATCTCACTGTACCCCAGCCCATACTGTACATACTCTGTGAGCAAGGCACGCTGGCTTCCAAGGCCATCAGACTAGTACTGTGTTAGGTGTAGATGTTCAACAACACTCTGTTTATTGGGTCAATGCAATGCGTTTCACATAGGAGATGAAACAGGCAGGCAGACAGACATTCTAATGTTTGTCTAATAAGGACTATTGAAAGGCTGTCTGTTAAAAGAGTGCTAAAGAGTGAGAGCAAAAGGACGAAAATGTGGGGGATTGGGAGGGATGACAGCAAGTGTGGGAAGTGAGGAGGAAGAAGAGGCAAAGGGCCACAGAATAGATGGGGGAGATGACAGGATGGAATGGAGGGAGGAGAAGGAAAATAACACAAGAGGGGTCACGAGAGGTAGTGATGAAAAAGAGATATCAGGAAAGCAGGAAAAGAATGAGAAGTTAAAAGATAAATCAGAGGAAGGGCAGAGCCTCACTCTGTAAGAAAGGAATCTAAGAGAAAGACAACAAACCCATCCTACCGTAATAGTTACAGACAGAGAGCAGTGCCTCCAGGAGAAATGACAAAAGAGAAAGGCAGAGAAAGGGACTGGAGAAAACCAGAGGGAAGGATGTCACCTTCCCCCTGACATTAGAGTTAGGCACTGGAATGCTGCCAAACTGTATCTTTCCCTAAAAATATATTCAAAATGGTTGTGGTATAAAATTTTTCCTACCTGGATACCCAGTACCAAGGAAGGAAGGAACTCAGTGGCAATTTGCACAGTGAAATGACCTGCTTTCACAGTCCTCCAGTGACCACAAGCACTGCCTAGACATGATCTCCCCTGCTACCCTATCCCTTCAAATCATCACCCCCTTCACCCCATCCCCTTTGGAGGAAGATATAGTTCTGCCCTTTCATGGGAATAATGTTATGTAGTCACTCTGCAAAACAGCAAGGAGGAAACAGAGCTACCATTTCTCTACATTGCTGGCAACATGCACACAGTACATTTTGAGTAGATGGGGCAGTAGGAAAATTGCAGATTATTTTAAAGGGGGGATCTAATCTCTGGATGTGTTGAGCAGTTCAGACCAAAAAAAGTGTGGTTAGTGTCTGTGTGTCCCCACTGTCCTTTAATGGACTGTGCGTCACGGACTCTATATTTTGATAGCAGATGCTGAGAGTTCTTCAGTACAAGCAACAGAAGCACAATATTTTGGAGCAGAAGCCATGAAGCTATGAGTGGCTATTGCATAAAAGCTGGTGACACCAGTGAAGTGCCTTGGTAGCTGCTGATTTGTTACACCTTGAACTATTCCCCAGCCAAAGCTTGAACTAAACCTTAATGGAATGCCCACTTAAACCCCTTTCTTCTCATTATATTTTCATCACTGCCATTTCTGTAAAGTAGAAAAGAGAGGCTGTTCTCTCACTATGACTTGCCAGGTGCCCTCATTGCCTGCTGCATTCAGAGAAACTTATTGAACTGCCTGCTTAGGTGAGAACCAAAACTCACAGCAATAATACAAGGGAGCTTTTTCTCATTAGATTCTCATTAGATGA